AAGGGGCATTTGTCAAATAACATTTTCCCAGTTTACAATTACTCAGAATTTATCGAAGAATAGATAGTAATATATGAAGGTCCGGGGTTAAAAAGCACCAATGTGTCAAAAACCAGTAAAGTTAAGCATTGTTTAACAATAATATTTGAAAGTAGAGGGAAGAAGATGTATAACCAGCTATAATCTTGATTTTCATGACTTTGCTATCGGAAGATAACCGGTAATCTTTGAAAATCCATAATAAAAGTATTTTCTTCCGTTGGTAGTTTTTTAGCATTAGTTAAAAATGTAATTATTTTGTAAAATACCTTTAAATTTAAAATAGGACATTAAACCTGTTTGCCACCTGGCAGTTCCAAATTACCCCGTCTATGGGGTAAAAAGGTCTGGATAACAAATTTTTGAAAGACATCAAAAAAGCACATTTCTACAATGATGAAGTAGCTGACAGTTTTACTGAACGTAGTCAGATAATTGTTCGTTTGAAATGTGTTATTTGTTATATAATTGGCTTGATTTTTATAATATAGTTTATATTTGCTCAAAAGACTTGGATTGGATTATACCATGTTTTCTATAGAAAGTGTATAAAACTTCCAGTTTGATTGATTGTAATGACAAAATATAGACAAACTAATGGAGTTTATAATACCTCATTGTATATAGCATTCAAATAACAACGTTTGCCGGGTCAGCTAGTATATAATATATATATATATATATATATATATATAAAGTAAATCTTTCTATTACTACACCCCGTTATCTATTACTCTAGCACCTCAACCACACAAAAAATCAAAATTTACATAAACCATAGGATCTTCATCGATCTCTTCCACATTTTCCTCAGCACTGGTCTCGACCGGAGGCACTAACTCTTCAATAAAGCCCCCTTCGCAATTCGGACAAGTATATCCCTAAAACAATAAAAGACAACGTACATAACCTAAAAAAAAACTTGACAAAAGTGCAAAAGATTTTTAGTGAAAATATGCATATATGGATAAAATTTTTATATTATTTACCGGATTTATTTGATCAAATTCAATACTGCAGCCATGACAATAATATCTTGTGGGAGCTGTCGAAATTTCTTCTACAGCGGCCTCAGCCATAGTAGTAATAGATTGTGTTGTGGTTTTTGTAACGTTTTAACTAATTATTTTTATAACACACATCGAGGTTCCTTTTAGATTGTAGCATGCTTAGATTTAAATATTTTAATTAGAAATACACATTAATAAATTTTATAATTTGTCAATATCTATTAAAATTGATGTATCAATAGGTTTGAATGTGTGTGAGTGTTTTGACGTTTGCTGTGAAGTGTGTAGTTGATTCGAAACGGTGTGAAGTTGTAGTATATGTCTTGTTACATTTTGAGAAGCGCGCAAGGCTCTCAAAGTTTGGGACGCGGGGTCTAATTTTTCCGTTGCAATTTTAAATAGTTAGGAAATGTCTCAAGGCAAATTGCTAGAACTTCTAGTACCGTAATGGAATATTCAAGGAATATTAAATGATTTCAAATATATTATTATAAATACTGTAAATTCGTTCTTATTCATATTTTGTAGACAAAATATAAGAGCTTATAAATTGGACGAAGACGTTTATATATGTTTACATGAAGAGTAAATAAACTAGTGGGGTGGGTGGCATCGTGCCTTAAGGCAAATTGCTGGAACTTCGTACCGTAACGAAATGTTTGAGGAATACTGAATGTTTTCAAATAAATTATTATAAATATTGTAACATTGTCTAATATTTATAAGTATTATATAAACTGAATTGCAAAGTTGAAATTATTTGTTTAAAGTATATTAGAACTAAAGTCAGAATTAAAAATAAAATCTGAATTATTTTTGATATACAAAAAATTTAAAAAAAAAAAAAATGTAACAAAATTTTTTTTTCCAAAATCAATTATTTTGTTAAGACAAGCAGAAAGTTCTTTGAATCATTCAAATCGGACGCTTAGTTCTCTCAAAAACTGCCATTTTTTACATATTTAGCTCCGTATCTTCGAAATAGCTGGGCCTACCTTTGCCAAAAACTAATAAACACTTCTCCCAATCATTACGAATTGAATGTTTTTTAGATCATTCAAATAGGATACTCCGTTCTCTCAAAAAGTCGATTTCTATTTTCTGCACTCTTTGCTCCGTATCCCCGAAACGGCTGGACCTGCCTTTGCCAAAAACTAATCAGCTCTTTTCCCTATCGATAGGAATCGAATGTTTTTTGAACCATTCAAATCGGTTGATCCGTGCGCTCGAAAACGTGACTGGAAATTTGTATCCATACATACATACACACACACACACACACATATCCATTTTTTCTGAGGTATGCCAAAATGTTCAGAAACCTTCAAAACGTCGAGAAATGTAAAAAATTTCAATTCCGATTTTCGGCTCATTACAATAACTTACCCTACGGGAGTTAATAAAACTTGATCAATCGAAATTATAATGAAGAATCGACTCACGACAGGGATCTTTGGATCGAATCCTGTCATTGACTTAGAATTTAAGAAGAAAATATACATGCGGTTTTTTCAAAATTAATTACAACTGGATTTGTTTAGTAGAACTAAAATAAAAAATTAGGAGTAAAAATAGAAAAAGTAGGTTTAATAGAAATTCCAAATGAGAGCACGAATTAAAGAAAGACAATTGAAAAAAGTAAAAAAATTGAAAGAAATTGAAAAAGAAAAATTTAAAAAAATATAGAATAGTATACAGATTATATAGATCGATTATGATATAAAAAGTATTACAGATTGTAAATAAACTAGTGATGTATGGCATCGTGCCTTAAGGCAAATTGCTGGAACTTCCCGTACCGTAACGAGGAATATTAAATGTTTTCAAATAGATTATTATAAATATTGTAACATTGTCTAATATTTATAAGAATTATATAAACTGAATTACAAAGTTAAAATTATTTATTTAAAGTATAGAAGTGAGTTTTAGCGTGAATTAAAATTAAAATCTGAATTAATTTGGATATTCAAAAACATTTTTTTTTCTCCCACAAGCAATTGTTTCGTCAACACGAGCAAAAAGTTGTTTTAATCATCCAAATCGGATGCTTAGTTCTCTCAAAAACTGCCATTTTTGCACATTAAGCTCCGTATCTCCAAAACGGCTTGACCTGTCTTTGCCAAAACCTAATCACCACTTCTTTCCATCATTAAAAATTGATTGTTTTTTGAATCATTCAAATCGGATGCTCCGTTCTCTCAGAAACTCGATTTGTATTTTCTGCAGTTTTTGCTCCGTATCTCCGAAACGGTGGACCTGGCTTTGCCAAAAACTAATCAGCAAGTCTCCATATCAGTAGGAGTCGAATGCTTTTTGAATCATTCAAATCGGTTGATCCGTGCTTATTAGTTTTTGGCCAAGGCAGGTCCAGCCGTTACGCCTTTGCGTTGCAAAAAGTGTGAGAAGTGGTAATTCAGTTTTTGAAAGAACGAAGTGTCCGATTTAAAAAATTCAAAAAACATTTTACTTGTATTGACAAAATGAACAACTAATTAAATTTTTGGGAAGGCAGGTCTAGCGGTTTTGGAAATTCAATGAAAAAAGAGAACAAAAATGATATTAGGCGTGCAAAAATGATTATTAGACGTATGCACACCAAATTATCAGATATTTTATAAGTACAAATTTTGTTCATATTTCTATGGGTTCCGTATCAAAGTTTGTCCGTTTGACTACGACACGGCGCTTACGCGCTTCAAAAAAAATTAATTGAATTTAAAACACAAAAAATGTCAATAAAGTCAGTTTTTTTCAAGAATTTCACAATTTTCAATAATCTAAAGTTTTTCAAAGTTTTAAATTTAATTATGAAGGCACGATGTCAATTTTTATGATTATTTTGTATGACGTAAGATGTCGTAGTTTGAAGTAACACGTTAAAATATTATAGGCCTACGGTAAGCGGTCGAATTATAATTATTATAAATTAATTCATCATACATAAAAAAAATTTTAGAACACGATACGGATAAAATTAAACATATTAAACAAATAATTTAATTTACATTTATAAATCTGTATTGTATAATAATTCAGTAAAGTAAACCAGAATGCGACATGCATTAGTTAAAAAAAAATAATGTACATGCAATTTTGGACTTGTTGCGTTATTTATTAAACTGATTTATATAATTTCATCTGCCAAACACATATACTGTTGACTGTATCTTATATTATTTTAATTTCTGGCACATTTCAGCTGCTTTTCAGCAATAATAATGTAGACATTACATTTATCTTGTATATTACATTCTAATATTATCTAGGTTCATAATTTCAGCTAAATTTAAATTTCAAGTGAATTGACATTTCTAGCAGATGACAGTCAATGTCAAACAATGATAGGTGTTTTTTTGTAATTTTGCCAATTATTTCTACAATATTACTATAGTTTTATAGTTCATTAAATCTTAAAATTTTCTTTGACAAACTCTAAAAAGATTTATCAAAGTCCGAATAACCGTTTAGGAGAAGTATCAAATGATACACATTTCTAGTAGATGACTGTCAATGTCAAACAATGATAAGTGGTTCTTTGTAATTTTTGCCATTTATTCCTACAATATTACTATAGTTTTATAGTTCATTAAATCTTAAAATTTTCTTGACAAACTCTAGAAAGAATTATCAAAATCCGAATAACCGTTTAGGAGAAGTATCAAATGATACACTCGTACAGAGGAATTTTATATATATATATATACACAAGTTATGTTTCGTTGTAACTTGGCCTAAGGCAAAATACCACTTACAACTAGTTCATCTTCCCGGTTTGAGAATCGACGATGAGTAATATTTGTCCTTCATTTTCCATCGATCGACTCCATCAGTTGAATATAAACATTTGTGTTAATAATAGATAATATTGTGGATATTTATAACACGACACTCTATATAATGCGAACGATATATTATCAGGTGATAATAAATGGAATTCAATCAGAAAAAAAAATTAATTAACAATCGTTGTTTATAATTTAATCGTTGAAGAAATAACAAGAATGGTGTTTGGTTTCTTAGAAATGTATTGTTCGTGTAGTCATATACGTTTCCTGTTTTATTTATTAAGGAATGTGGATTTGTGATTGTAATTTTAGTATAAAATGGCATAAGGTGAATAAAACTAGTGGTGTATGGCATCGTGCCTTAAGGCAAATTGCTGTAACTTCCCGTACCGTAATAAAATATTCGAGAAATTTTCAACGTTTTCAAATATATTATTACACAAATACTGTAACTTTCATTATTTTTGTTATCTTGTTTGTTATATCTGAGCGAATCAAATGTAAATCATAAATCAATTTATCTCCGTCAATTCATTTCGAATTCAATTTGAAAAAAAAAAAATATTTGCCTAATTTACACAAAATTGAAAAAGTGCTACCATATAGTCACAGTCTAAACGCATTTGCAAATAATTCTGTGCGACATTTTCACTTGTACTGTGCTTAGCTTGGCGGCATTTTCACATTTTTCAATAGTTTTCACAAAATTGGAAAAGTGCTCCATACCTAAACAGTCTGAACGCACTCGGGTAAACATTTGTACCAGAGTGGCGCTAAGACTGTGCTTTGCCTGGGTAATTTTTTGAATTTTTTAAATCCAAAATTACAAAAATATTCTATGGAAAATAAAAAAAGATGTAATAGTTATTTATCCTCAAAAGCAATTGTTTTGTCAATACGAGCAGAAAGTTTTTTAGATGATTCAAATCGGACGCTTAGTTCTCTCAAAACTGGCATTTTTTGCACATTTAGCACTGTATCTTCGAAATGGCGGGACCTGCCTTTACCAGAACCTACTCACCTCTTCTCCAATCATTACAAATTGAATGTTTTTTAATCATTCAAATCCGATACTCGTTCTCTCAAAAACTCGATTTGTATTTTCTGCACTCTTTGCTCCGTATCTCCGTAACGGCTGGACCTGCCTTTGGCAAAAACTAATCAGCACATCTCCACATCAATAGGAATCGATTGTTTTTTGAATCAATCAAATCGGATGCTCCGTTCTCTCTAAAACTACCAGTTTTTGCGCTTTTATCTCTGTATCTCCGAAACGGTTGGGCTTACCTATGCCAAAAACTAATTACTACTTTTTCCCATCATTACGATTTGAATGTTTTTCGAATCATTCAAATGTTTTTCGTATTTCCAAAATGGCTGGGCCTGCCTTTGCCAAAAACTAATTAGCACGTCTCCACATCAACAGGAATCGAATGTTTTTGAATTATCCAAATAAATATAAAC